TCAAACATAATCGTCGACTGCCAGAGGGATACGAGCGCAAAATTGATTGATAATAAAAATTGACGACGACGATCCTTTAACCTTCGTCTTACGTCGTATGCAGCAGCAGCAGCAGCGACGGCGGCGGCGGCGGGTGAACATTGTACGGTACGGATCTCTCGACGAAAAAGGAGAGATTTATATGTATGATATATATAAGAAAGAGAGCTCGAGCTGCTCTGCACGTGTCACACTGTACGTACGTACGTACTCGAAAGGGGAGTCTTCCTTATATATAGCCTCTGGGCATCGGGCACCAAGAGTTGTACTTTCATCATCGTCTCTGTGCTCTATTATATATAGTAGTAGTAGTAGTCCGGCTTTTGTTTGATAGCTATGGGCGCGCGTTTCGTAGCAGATAGGAGCCACTTAGCACAGAAGCTTATTACGGCTGCACGGCGGCGCGCATATTCCCCATTTAATACCTATTCAAAGGCCGGGGCGCGTTTCCGTTGACGACGTGTGCCCGAGTTGTTATTTTTTTTTATTTTCCTTTTCTCGTACTCGGGCTCATAGAACTCTGCTTCAAATGTCAAAAGTCGCCACCGCTGCGGTTTCGGTCGATTAGAAAATTTTCTAGGCAGGGCCTTTCAATTATCGTCTAAACGCTGACGAGTTTTCGTTAGATCAGTGTGCGTGTGTGCGTGTGTCAACCCGTCGTCCAAGATAAATACAACAAATGTGCGACGCTTGTGTACACGTATATTATTATAAACGGCACGAACGAAAACTCGGAGCTAATTTCTCCCGTGCTTACATTTACTTTGTTTTCCTCTGTGTGACTGTGTGTGTATTTATGCTTTAACGTTTCATTAGATGATTTCCGCGTTTCGCCTAGCCCAGAGACGAGAGCAGCTCCGAAAACTTTTTCGACGCGCGCGACACACAGCACGGCGCAGCTTGCGCGTCGCGTCGCGTGAACAACTTGAACGGCGCGCAGCAGACAAGTAGTACAATACAGTGTGTAACACAGCAGAGAATGTTTAGCGCCCGAGTTGTCCAAACACAACCCCGTATATATGTACATAGGCGCGCGTGTGTGTGCCGTCTAAGAGAGATAAAAGACCCCCGTCCCGCGTACCCCCCTCTTCGTTTTGCTTTTAACTAATTCTCTCGGCGAAAACTCGGTCAACTTATTCCCCGCGCATATATGTATAAGTATACGCAGAGAGCTGGAAAACGCACGAACTGCACAACGCTGGGTCCATGCCAGTGGCAAAATAGCGGAACTCTTTAAATAAACAGTTGCTACTGCTGCTGCGATGCCGATGCTACCAGCCTCTCTCGCTTATATACCGCTCGGCGCGGCGCGCATATCTTCTGATTTATATTCGCGGACGCATATATACAAGAGGCAGAGGAGTGAGGAGAGAGCATAGAACAAACTCTACGGCCCAGTAAGGCTATTCATCTCGGCTTGTTAAGCCGCGGAAAAACAGCCAACAAGCGGTGCGAGGGAGGCAGGATAACATTCGTTAACACCCCTCCTCTCGTGTGCTATACCGGCCTGAGCTGGGCTCGTTTTCTATTTTATTGTATAATACTCGACGCACTCGAGTAACGAGAGGACGACGACTGGCGCGTGGAACAAAAGTGAGGGAAAAAAAGGCAACGGAATATAAAGTGCGTGCGAGTAAAAGCGTGAAAACATTTTTTTACCTTTCTTTTTTCTTTTTTCTTTTTACGCGAAATGCCTAAAAAGCACGAGTATACTTTCTTGCCGAGTTCTCTTTCTTTCCTCCACCCCGGGCGCAGCTCCCATCTTTTGTGTTTATACGCACGTACATAATCAATTATTGCGCAGTACGGACGCGGGCGGACGTCCTACCGTCGCGATACTGCAAAATCTTGATATAAAATGTATATAATAGGGGCGCATACACATCGGTAGAGCTCGGTAAGCTCGTAGGTAAAGAACACAAGGAGGGCAAAAATATAAAAAAAAAAAAAGACTCGCGCGAGAGATGGTAGGTTTTGATGCGTCCGCATGTGTACACGTCGGGTTTAGCCGTACACGCGTCAAAGAGAATTTAGTGACGAGTAGCAGCAGCAGTAGGCAGCCTCGCGCGACGCTATATAATATGGAAGCGACGACGTCGACGCGATGAGATCAAGCGAATGCGCGGCAGGGTAGGAGGAGAGCAGAGAGTTTTAGACTCCAGAGAGAGAGAAAGATGAACGGATGAAAGGTACATGTGCGCACATGCTCCCTCACCCTCTCGTTGTTAAATTGATTAGAGCCCGCTCGCGCGCATTTATACATATAGTATTATGCTACGGAGCACACAAAAGGTGCGGATGTATAATAGCTCTCTGGCTAAAAGGGGCTGCTGCTAGTCTCTCTCGCTCTCTCTAGCTTGGCGCACAACGTATACATTATGTGTTTTGCGTCCCAACGTAAGACGCATAAATACTTATTACCGACGATATGTATACGAGGAATGTAATTAGTCGAGGATTAAACGAGCAGCGCACGAGTATTAATGCCAGACGAAGACGTCTTGGCGTTGCGCCGCGCAGCTCCACCATCACCACCATCACCCCTGCTGATGCTGATACGGCATTATTATTACCGAAGCTTATAATGTATATTAAATATACCACTTGTGTGTACATACTACGGATAGATAGAGCAGCAGTGAAACGAGCGACTCTCGTCGAAGTATCGCGCGACTCGCTCTGCACACTGTCTTACATACCCTTGTGTACATGCGAAGCCGTTACAGAGCTATGAAATTACGATTACGCGAATGTTGCTTTACCCCAGCAGTAGTAGATCTATGCCAGTATGAAAACAGCTCCCCTCCCTCGCCCCTCCGAGTCGTGTAGGCCCCCCCCCCCCTGAAGGGAGGGCATATGAAAACTAGCAACAATCAAGTGTTAATTTTCATATACCCTCGATCCCTGAGAGGGTATATAAAATTAATGCTTGATTGTTGTATGATTGCACATACTTATTGTTTACCCCATAACGCGGCTGCATATAGCATACGTGTGTGTGCGTGTATGTATGCGTGAGCGCATAGCGCGAAGGCATTGTGCGCGCGCTCGCAGGCCCCCCGTGTGAGCTCGAACGCGCCGGTATGGCGGCGCGTGCACTCACCTATGCGTATGAAATGAGCGTGAGTGCGTAGCACTCATGCTATGTGTGTGTGCGTGTATGTATGCGCGCGCGCTCGCGCGCGCTGTGAGCTCGAACCCGTTGGTATAGTAGTAAGCATAATAAGTATACGCGTAGCATGCGTGAAAGTGCGGCTATATGTATGCACGGGAGATGTCCCACAGAGCAATCGTCGTATGTTCATCTACCTTGTAGCCACATCATGAGGCATGGTGTCTAATTATGAGGAGATAATGACAACATTTTTTTGTGCTATTAATATAATTTTATTAATTGTATCTGTCTATGAATTATAATTTTTTTTTTACACAAAATACTTTTTCCATTCTGTATTTATCTCCCATGATTTTTGAGAGACAACCTCTTCAGACTCCGATGCAACATTTTCTTCAGAGTCTGTGACAAAAGTGCAATCACTATCGCTCTCCTCCTCCACTGACCATGTATCTTCGCTTCCAATATCCATGTCCGAGCATAGTGAGCTATAATGAAAAAAAGTTTACACTTTTAATAATCTTAAAACTTTTGAAATGAAAAAAAAAAAAAAAAAAAAAAAAAACATACCAGTCTTTATCAAGATGGGTGATATGATTATCTTCATTTATCGCCCACGAATCCTCCATCGGCTCGAGCTGCTCGATCATCTCGTGATCCATTGTTTCTTCAGAGGCCGATGTACGTATGGACGAGTCAAAATCATACTCTCCGAGCTGATTTTCCGGTCCAAAAGAAGGAGAACTAGACCGCTGATGTATAAAAAAATTCGCACAAAAATCTTCGTACGAAGGCACGCTGCCATTAACTTGACCATTTGCCGCCAAAATTGTCATAAAAAAATTCGCACAAAAATCCTCGTACGAAGGCACGGTGTCACTAACTTCACTACTTGCCGCAAAAATTGTCGACGCGTCGCTTATCACGCTCTCATTATCAACACTCACTGCACACATAGGCGATGGCTGACTCGGGGTACACAACCAACTATCAATTCCTGCAAATATGTCTCCAGGAAATTTGCTCTCACTCATAGGAGATATACCATTTGGCGCTATTTCTTGTATCGCTTTATCCAACTCACTATCACTAAACTCAATAATCACCGAAGAATCAGCCATTATTTGAAATTATTTCGATCTGTATCGAATAGACTCTCGTAGCTAAATAAGGACCTCAAAAAGTTTTTTTTTCTCGCGAGATTTTTTTCCTTCTCCTCAAACGAGTGAAAATAATTTTAAACATTATCTCTCTCTCTCTGTCTATCTTTCTCAAAGACTAGCACACAAGTCCGCCTACCACCATCTCCATCCCAAGTGTCATGAGATCTAAGCATTGCACTGATTTTAATGAGCCAATCATTGGTGTCTGATACTAATTTAATTAAGATCATTCGGCTTCTTTTTAGCCTTTTCCTTCTCCTCAAACAGGTGAAAGTAATTTTAAACATTATCTCTCTCTCTGTCTATCTTTCTCAAAGACTAGCACACAAGCCCGCCTATCACCATCTCCATCCCGAGTGCTATTAGATCTAAGCATTGCACTGATCCAATCATTGATGTCTAATAGCAATTAAATCTAATTTCTATGCGACATCTTAGACACAGCCCATCTACATAGCATGATAGACAAGCGGTTTTACAAGTGTAGAGAAAAATTCAATCAAGATCATTCAGTCTATTTTTGACTTTCCACACTGCTACTTACTCTCGTACTTGTGCTCTTGTAACATACTCTCGTACTTGTGCTCTTGCAACTTACTCTCGATTTTATCACATTACAAGTGTCAAAGGGTTAAAAACAAAGTATACGTTAAAAAAAAAAAAAAAGTGAGTGAGTGTAAAATATGGCGAGTGCCGGTGAAATAATTCAGATCATTGCGAATTTGAAAGCAATTCCCAACATTGGCAATCTCAACAGAGAAGAGGTGGAACAATTGCAAGAACGATGCAATTCAAGCATCATCGGCATAGCGCAATTCTTCCCAGGTAGGAGGAATTTAATGCGCCGTTTGTCATTGCGCATGGACATTCAAGCGCTACAGAGAAAACTGCAGCGAAGATTGCTTATTTTGCAATATGCGGCTTTGGATGAGCCCCTACATGAACAAGTTGGCGGTGGAATCATCAACAACGGCGAGCAGGAGGAGGAGGAGGAAGAGGACGAGGAGGAAGAGGACGAGGAGGAAGAGGACGAGGAGGAAGAGGACGAGGAGGAAGAGGACGAGGAGGAGGAAGAGGACGAGGAGGAAGAGCACAACGACAACGAAGGTATCGGTGAACATAACGCCAATAATAATCTCGTATGGAGAGATACTGAACGAATGTTCAGAGCGGCTATAAGAATGGGTGAAATCGCAAACAACACCCATGTGGATGTAAGAGTTTTCACTAGCGATTGTTTTCCTATTTTTAAAGAAAAAGTAGAAGAAAGGGTGGCTATACAGCCAATAAAATGTTATTGCATTTTAGAGATAGAGTTTCAGTCGCCTCGCATAGGCGATGAGAAACTTATTACAAAGTGGCTTCATACCAATGCGATGATTATTTTTGAGACGACAAATTTGAGCGAGTGGTATGAGGAGCACGTTAAAGCTTATATAGATAAACGCATCGATTCATTTTGTGAAAACGGCAGCGGCTGGACGGTAAATAGAATCATCAAATTAACCGTCGTTATGCTCAATTATGAGCCTTTTAAGGGCGCGTCTTTTATTCCTTTACCAAAATCAATATCTAATAAGGGCGCAACTGTAAATGTTAAAAATGATGACAATAAATGCTTCATGTGGAGTATTCTCGCGGCATTGCATAAAGACAAACCAAACCGCTGTAGAGTCCAAAATTACTTACCTCATGTAAACGAGCTTAACTTTGGGGGTCTCGAATTCCCAATCAAAGTATGCGATATCGATGAATTTGAAAGATTAAACCCTACCATAGCGATAAATCTCCACAAGCTGAGATTAAAAAATGATAAATATATTGTAAACCCGTGTCGACAATCAAAAAAAGACTACTTGCATGATAAAAATATAAAGCTCATAGATTTGCTATATTTGCAAAATTATTATAAAGACGAGGGAATGAATGATGTCGAAACAGCTAAACTAAATTATCTCGAAGATCAGTCGGTGGCGCACGCGGATGAAATTAAGGCCCATTACGTTTTGATAACATCTATGGAAGCATTATTGAATTCACAAATAAGTAGAAATGGTCATAAAATTAATCTGTGCAGCGGATGCTATACTCGCTTTCGCAGCAAGGAAAAGCTGGAGGAACACATACCACATTGCAATAAAATGAATGGCTTTACGAGGGTAAAAATGCCGGATACAAAAAACAATGAAGATATTTTATGTTTTAAAAATTATAAACATAAACTTAAAATACCTTATGTACTTTATGCTGATTTTGAAACAGTATTAAAACCGTCTACTGATTCAAGCAACATAACACACAGACATGAGGCATTTTCAATCGGCTACTATCTAAAATGTAGCTTCGATGAAAGTCAGTCGGTCTATAGATCGTATCGTATGACTCACGAAGATCAAATGTCGCCTGCCACATGGTTCGTGCATGAACTTTCATCGATCGCTGATCGACTCGAGAAGATCTACAAGACACCCAAAAAAATGATTATTACAGAAAAACAGCAAGAAGAATTTGAAAAGGCGACGATTTGCTGCATCTGCAACAAATTCATGAATCGACATCATGAAACAAACTACCCTGTGCGGGACCACGATCACTTTTCGGGGTTGTATAGGGGTGCGAGTCACAACAAGTGCAATTTGCAATATGTAGACTCTCGCTGTATTCCAGTAGTTTTTCATAATCTGTCAAACTACGATGCGCACATTTTCATTCAAGAGCTCAATGCGCTAATCAAGGGCGGTGTTAAAGTACTGGGCGCCAATAAGGAGCGCTATATTACATTCTCCAAGTATATTCATGATAGTATTATAAGCTATAGGTTTATAGATTCGCTCAAGTTTTTACTCGCCTCCCTCGACACAGTTTCATCCAGACTGACCGAGAAGCCAATCGTTCAAAAAGTTTTCACAACAGACGATAACTACAACTCGGAAGACATCAATTTATTGACGAGCAAGGGGATATTCCCATACGAATACATCACAGATCTCTCCAAGCTCTCCGAAACCAGCCTACCGCCGATAAAATCATTTTATAGTTCTCTAAGTGATTCGAGCGTGAGCGAAGAAGACTATACACACGCTCAAAAAGTATGGAGCACCTTCGATGTAAAAGATATCGGTCAATATTCAGACATTTATTTAAAAACAGACGTTTTGTTGCTAGCCGATGTCTTTGAAAATTTTCGTGATAGCTGTCTCAAGTATTACGAGCTCGATAGTGCGTATTATTGTTCAACCCCCTCTTTTACCTGGTCGGCCATGCTCAAGTATACCGATATAAAGCTAGAGTTAATAACAGACGTCGATATGTACATTTTTATCGAGCGTGGTTTGAGGGGCGGGCTTACACAGGCCAGCAGTCGCTTTGCAAAAAGTAACTGTAAGTACATGCGAGAGGGTTACGATCCGAGCAAGATAGATAATTATTTGATGTATTTCGATGTGAATAATCTGTACGGCTACGCGATGAGTGAGCCTCTACCATATGGTGACTTTTATTGGGTTGACGAGAAAGAAGTCGATGTAACAAATTCCAAAAGCATTAAACGTTTCCTCGAGCCCACAGGTGAGGATGGATATATTCTCGAGGTAGATTTGAAATATCCGAAAGAAATACACAACGACCACAGTGATTTGCCTTTTTGCCCGGAACATAAAACACCACCCGGAGGCAAATCTAAGAAACTTTTGGCTACTCTACACGACAAGAAAAACTATGTCATACACTACTCTCTTTTGAAAGAGGCGCTCGACCATGGCTTAATTCTCGAAAAAGTACACAAAATTCTTCACTTTAATCAAAAACCTTGGCTCAAGAAATATATCAATCTAAATACGCGCAGACGTCAAGAAAGCACCAACGACTTCGACAGAAATCTATTCAAATTGTTTAACAATGCCTGCTTTGGAAAGTTTATCGAAAATAAAAGAAAAAGGGTGGAAATACACCTTACAAATCATTGGGATCGTAGATATGGCGCATCGTACTACATCTCCCAACCCAATTTTCATAGCATTGAGTATTTTAATGAAGACTTTGCGGCTATACAGATGCGCAACACTAGCATATACCTTGACAAGCCGGTATATGTCGGTCTCAGTATACTCGACATATCAAAGCGTCTCATGTATAATTTTCACTATGACATCATGCGCAATGCGGTGAGTACACCGAAGAATTTGAAACTTTTGTATACAGACACAGACAGTTTCATATATTCGATTTACGACGACGACATATATGAAATCATGAAGAAGAATATTCAACATTTCGACACCTCGGAATATCCCAACCCCAACCAATTCAACATGCCGCGAGTAAACAACAAAGTTATTGGACTGCTCAAAGACGAATTTAAAGGTTCGATCTTCCTAGAGTATGTGGCATTGAGAGCAAAAGCCTATTATTGCAAATACGAGCAGAATGCCAAAGCCGATGCCGAATTAAAAAAAGCAAAGGGTGTAAATAGACATGTGGTGAAAAAAACAATCACAGGTGAGCATTACAAACAATGTCTGTTTGAAAACGGCATGATTTCGCGCGAACAATATGGATTTCGCAGCAGAAAGCATAAACTAACAACCGAAAAAATTACTAAAATTGCACTTAGCCCACATGACGACAAGCGCTACATTATACCCGGACAAGTATATACGATGCCATGGGGACATTACTTGATTACGGATGAGAGAGGGGTTGATGAGAATGGGGCTGATGAGAATGAGAGTGATGAGAGTGGGAATGATGAGAGCGATGAGAGTGGGAGTGCTGAGAGTGTGAGTGGTGAGAGTGATAAGAGTGGGAGTGCTGAGAGTGAGGGTGACTATCTTCCTTCTCCATCGAAGAAAAGTCGTATCGTTTGAGTGTCACTCTTCGATCAATACTCGTGCAATAACCATCAACCAACAGCCGTCCTAGCCAAAAAAAAATGGATCTCGAGCAACTAAACAGAATAGCATTGAACGCATACCCAGTAGTCATGAAAATTGCGGACACGGTGGAAAATCGTGAATTTGTTGTAACTGCGATAAAAATTGTAAAGACTCATCGCTATGGGTCTAAAATAGTCGCAGAAGTGTGCTATCTGAATGGCGAGTGTGTGAGTGTCTATTTGAGCAATAAAATGGGTGTTGCCTTGATGCAGAATAATGATTTATTTGTAAAAATGAACGAAGCAGCGAGTGTAAAAAAATTAATTTGTAAACACATAGGTGCTGGTGTGATAAATTTCAAAATTAACGAATGATACTATTGTACAATCTCTCTCTGTAAATAATCAACAAGTTTATTACAATATGAATATGTGATTTAAATGAAACAACAACAACAACAGTTTTTTTTTATTTATTTATAATCATCTTTATTTATCCAACTATTGTGTTCATTACCAAATCCCAACCATTTAACAAAAAATCGATCTCCCTTCTTTTTGACAATTTTTTCAATCAAATATACATCTGGATGATTCGTCTTATAAATTTCTTGTTCGTAAAAAATACCAGATATCGGCTTACAATCTTGATCTTTTAAACGGTACGTGGGCGGATAAGTTTTCATGACTTCTTGAATTGTAAATATCTCGGTAGACCAATTAGGAGTATATGATTTCTCAAATAGCTGCTTTACACGACTAACACGCACTTTATCACCGACTTTGTATTTTGCTTTGAACACCTTGTTTTTTTTTTTACTATCCAAGAGCGCGTAGCGACGTTCAAGTTCTTCCTCGTTATGGCTATTCACATCTTTGGGTTTCATATTAATTGTGCGGTGGATCGAGTCGTTATATGTCGCTACCAGATCGTCTAGAATATCGAGCCACTTGTTGTTGCCATTAAGTGTGAAACGTTGCCACATTTTTTCTTTCAGCGTCCGATTGAATCTCTCACAGATGGAAGCTTTTAAATTACTAAATGTCGAATAGTGGTTGATTTTGAACTTTTTCATTAATCGCGCGAAATGTGAATTGTAGAACTCTTTGCCCTGATCCGTGTGTAAATTTTTTGGATATTTTTCATCGGTGAGAATTGAAGAAAAGGCTGCTGTCACATCCTCGCCTCTTTTGCTTTTCAGAGGGATAGCCCAGGCAAATTTTGAAAAACAATCAATTATTGTAAGTATATACTTGAAGCCCTTGTTTGTCGAGGAATAGGGTATCATCTCGACGAGGTCTGCCTGCCAGGTATCATCTATTCCAATCATTTTATAGCTCCACCTTTTGTAATTGCGTCGCGCGGGCCTATGGAGTTCTTTAACGATCTTTTCTCGCTCGCTCATTGTTGCTTGTCTTCCAAATAATGATACTCTGGATTAAGATACGTTCCCTCGATTTTGTGCAAGTAATATTTTTTTCCGTCTTTGTATGTGTACTGTTGTATTTTTGGAAACGAGCGAGCATCTGGTGGGGCATGCGATATCGAAAGCAGATGATCATAGCGCTCTTTAACCACGGCCACTCGTACCTTCAAATCAGATGCCACAGATAAAAGTTTTTCTCTGAGAGACCGGAGTTCGATATCGATTGTTTTTTTAATGCCGTCGTGTCCTTCCGTGATTGTGTCGATTGCCCTCTGTGCCTCCGAGCGAAGAGTGGTATAATTTGTCAAATCATAGTCATTTATAGGATTTTCGACATTAATGAGACGCTTCTCGTGCAAATCGTAGCTATACTTGTCATCTGCTAAATCGTGTCCAACGCCCCGAGGGCCTGGTTCAGTCGAGTTGATAATCTTTTCGACATTGCATATGTAATCATTGAAGAGTTGCAAATTGATTACATCGTTTTCGAGTTGTGCATCGCCGATGTTTGTTATTACTTTATTCTCAAAATTAATATCACCCTTCTCTGTTTTCTTTAGAAATGTAGAAATTTTCATGAAAATTTCTTTCATAAATTTATTCACTTTTATGAAAATTGATGAAATTGACGCAGTCAGTACTTGAAGATTAACAACATCGGTATCTTCGACGGCATCCCCAAGATTCGTCAGTCGTGCGCGATCAATGTCAAATTTTTTTTCTTGAGCAAATCTCAAATCGTTCAATTTTTTCAAAACTGTATTGGCATCATCGCTGTCTTTGACTTCGAGATACGATGGAGACTCTTCTGCTTTACCAATGTGCGGCTGCATAGAATGACCACACGTATCTTCGGACACACACACGCTTTCAGAGCTCATTTTCTCACTCGATGCTTCACCTATCACACTTCGTGCAACACTGATGATTTTACAGGCTCAAAACTAGCTTTATATGATTAGTCCCTATTCAGAATATGAATTTCTGGATTGCGAATTGCCTGTTGTCTCTCATTAATTTGACGCTCGAGTAATTTATCGAGATTTACGCGTTTTTTCTCGATCTCGTCAATCTGGGTTTTTAATCCGTCCGTCGTTTGGTTCAAATTTCTGCTCAAATCGATGATACTCTGATGTAGCTTATTATACACATCATCGATGTTTCTCTGTGCTTTACCGCGAATAGCGGCAATATAAAAGTTTAGAGTCCACAAATTGACGGCATCGAAATCATCCAACGGATGCGCCATGTTAGTCAGACGTTTCTCCATTAAATCGAAATTTCCATCTGCGGTTGTCTTGTAGCCACGGCCTGGGGGCCCGCGCGGTATTTTATTTATTAAATCCATCAGCTTTTTCTCAACCGTGCGAACAGTTTTAAGCACAACCGCATCAGAATCGTTGACGGGCTCGGCGACGTTTTGCAGTTTTTTAAACATCATGTCGTAATTGCCGTTTCTATCAAATTTCACGATGGCATTGATTTTGTCGTTAATTTGTTTCTCGAGCCTTTCAATTTCCAGATGAGATGATTTAATATTGCTTCGCAGAGTCGACAGATCGATCGCGTCTGATTTCTCGACAGCAGGTGCTATATTCGTGATGCGTTTGTTGTGTGCATCGTAATGACCGTCGTCGTCGACATCAATTTTTTCGATCGAAACAAGAGTCGATTTGAGCCTATCCATATTCATGCGATGGTATGGATCGTATGTTGGCTGAGGTGGGCGTGGTTTACCTTTCGGCTGTAAAATTTCGAGTCTATTTTTTTCCTCGTCCGTGAATGAGGAGGAGGAGGGATTGGCAATTGGTAATCCAAACACGTCAAACTTCATTTTGATACTGTCTAATCTCTCGTGAAACAATCACCTTATATACCCTTCTTCGCGTAATTCTTCGATAATCGAATTAATTTCATTGTCGTGCGAGCTATTGCCGGCGTTCTTTTCTCCCAGCAATAATTTCAATCTCTCACACAGCTCGTTGGGATCATTCCAATAGCGATAGTATTTTTTAGGCTTTAAATATGCTACTTTAAAATTGCCCCGCAACCCGGCCAATGATTTCTCGGCGAGTACTCCTCCTCCAATTTTTACATTAAACAATGGATGAATGTATTTTGTATACTTCGGCTGATTCCATGCTTTTACACGAGCGTTGGGATCATTTTTTACTCTGTGAGCACTCGTGTACTGTAAAATATTACGAAAATTACCCAAGTCAGTGTCAGAGACATATGTACCAATAGGGTCTCTTTTGAAAAGTAACTCGATCAAGCCGGGTGTGATGCTATATTTATGCTTTTCATCGAGTACAATAAATTTGTCTCTGAATGATATATCAGAGTTGCCAAACTTTAGTTGATAACTATTATTACCAGATCCCTTTTTAACACCCGTCGGATCGAGTATATTGTTTAAATCTCGTCCTGATTCAAGAATTGCTAGATATAATCGTAAATATCCCATGTCACCATGTTCCGATGAATCAGTTTTACTGACTTGTAGCGGCGGCGGCAGCGTCTCGTTCGTGTCATCGTTCGACCCACCAGCTACATCTAATTTCTCAATGACAGTCGAATTATCCTCTTCGTTTTCTTTTTTCTTTATATCGAGTAGAAGGCTCTTACTCCTTTTTATAGATCTATCTTTATCGAAGTCAGCCTCATTATCGTCGGCGGTCAGATCAACCAATTTATGAAGAGGTTTTGTTATTGGCTTAAACGTATCGGATATTATTTTTTCGAAAGTCTCATCGTTTCTCTTAATCAAATTGTATTTTTTTTTAACTGCCTCGCGAGCCTTTATTAATTGATTTAATTGGTCCCTATGGCGTTCCAGACTATTCATTATGGCTGAATGGCTTATACTGTCGCATGCACTCGGTGTTTTTACATATTTATAGCGAAAGAATCAAAACCGCAGCGATATCGCCCTTTATTCATTTCGCTGTCTTTATCAATTACGACGAAGCCGTGTTTTTGA